TCTACATGCAGTTCTCACCTAGCTCTCTGGATGGAGCTCATGCTGCTTCCAAAGGAGCTCCGAGTCGGAGAGGAGCACGCAGCTCTGCGCTGTGATGCTTTGTTTTCTACCCTGTCTTTCCTCCTCTGCTCAGTGCAAGCCTTGCTTTGCTGCTTTGTATTTGACTATCATGTGAAATTTGCTTAAACTATGCCCGTTAACCTCCTGAAATTTCAATGGAGATCTCAGATTTTTTTAAAAAAGCAAAAGGTTCGTCTTCCTGCCCTTTTTAGCTTCTCTTTTGCAAGGGTTGTTAAATTTTGCCCTCATTTGAAGAACAGAGAAATTATTCAGGTGAGCACAGCTCCAAGGGTGTGTCTGGCAACAATCTTCAAGTACGTGGTCTGCGAGTTACAGGGGCCGTGCAAGAGGGTCCCTCCTCAGCTGTCTTGGCACTGGGGAGCTCTGGGCCACCCTGCAGAAGGATGGCAGATGGGGGTGCGGGGGGAGAGGAGAGGCTTTTGTTTCCCTTGCAATGAAGGTGCAGATTGCAGCTGGCTGTGTCAGCCTAATGATGTCGACAGCTGCATTTTTAACAGTGGGCCACAGGGAAAAGGGAGAACCCACAACTGAAACTCCACTGGCATGACTCTCATCTTTAAAATGGTAAATTTTTGGTGCTGCTCTTCAAAGGATAATTCAGTGGAAGATCATCACTGAGATGTAAAATTATTCCCTTTCCTGGGCAGCAGCCATTGTTTTATTAATGACTTTTTTTTTTTCCTTCCTGAAATGCCCTTTGTGCTTGGGTTTAACTCGAGGTTTGAAAAAGAGACTTTTACACAAAAGCCTGTTTTCTGAATGTTTGCAAATCTCCTGTAAAATAGCCTGTATGGTAGGAAGTTATTTTTTTGCTTTGCAATACTATTTTTAAAGCATGGGTGATAAGCCAAAAAAGCTTGTTTTTCTTCTAATAAGATTTTTCTGTAACAATATTAACCTCTTTAGGTCATGGAGCACAAATTCCAAGGTCACTGTGCAATCATTTTTTGCCTACTGAACTTGCCTGCTGCTTGGCTTTATTTCTCTCTAAGGAAGTCATATACGCAACATTTATTTTCTTCAAATCTTTCTGAGTCTGAAGACTGAGGCAAGCGGTCCACAGGAAAATATAAGGACAGTGTCTAGCTATAGGTGTTTCTCTCAGGCAGTGTTAGGTACCTGTGTTTAGCTTACGGGGTTTGTTCCGCTGCTTCAGAGAGCTACAGCAAACCTCCCTAGATAATGCAGTGTAATTTAGGCCTATAGCCCTTAGGAAATCAAGATCCATCTGTACAAGCCCCAATTTAACAAAGTATAGGTACTTTAAAAGAGGTAGGTGTCCATGGGTTATCCCACTGAAGCCATTTGCTTCTCACCTGGAACTTACTGGCCGTAACCAGCCCTCCAGTCAATTAGCTGAGCCCCTGCCATCTTTCCCAGTTCTCTGTGGTCTCTCTCTCTTCACATTTGGGTGATTTCACTACAAGCATGACAGCCATACTGCTCAGACCAGAGGTCCAATGTCTGGCTCGGACAGTGGCCAAACAGTAGCAGATGTTTAGAGATGAACATAAGGACAGGGAAAGCATAAAGGAATACATTCCCGCTAGCCTCTCCTGGCCGCTGACAGTCTGCAGCTCGGTTGCTTCCTGAGCCAGAAGTGGTGTCTTTGCATTTATTCATATTTTTCTGCTGTGAGTTTGTCTAATGACTTTTTGAACCCACAACAATTTTTATCATCCACAGCTTCCCAAGGCAATGAGTTCCACTGCCTCACTGTGATCTGTGTGAGAAAGTATCTCCTTTTGCTTGTCTGGAAAATGTCACCTTCTCCCCCTGTGTTCTTGTAGTGGGGAAAACAGAGAATCATCATTGCCTGCTGGTTTTTTGTGCTCATTTTGGCTTCCGTATAACCCTGGCACAGCAATACATCCAGGGAGTATGGAGCCTCCTGCATTTGTTCACATAGACTGTCCCAGGATGTGCACTAGATACAGTTCTGAAAATAACTTTTCAATAAGATCTGAGGCATACCCAGACCAAAAGGCCAGACACTACAACTGTAGGAGGTGAAATTAATCTTGCTTAATGCCATGCTAATTTTGCACAAAGATGACAAAGCATCCAATCTTGAGAGTGGTCACTGGGTGCTCTGCAAAAAGAAAAAAATGCCTTTTGTGCCTTGTAGGGTTTGTGGACCCATCCTATGTAAAATAACGCAGAAATACGGCAGAGGAACCAGCCCTGAGTCTCAACACCTCCCATATCTCAAGTGGGCTTTTTCTGGAATGAAGGCCAGCACAAAGCTGACAGAATAACACTTCATAAAAGAGGGGGATGGAGTTTCAAAATCAAAGATCCCAAGACACCTTTTACAGGTTCTTTTAAGATGACTTTATATCTTTGTTTCAACTTCACAAAGTGTAAGACTGCTTCAGAGCACTAACAGAAGCTGCCAGACTCACTTCAGAAGAACTAGGAAAAGAGGGAGAAATTTCCAAAGGCTCTAATTGCATTTAAGCACTTCATCCCTGTTCAAAAGCCAATAGGCGCGACCGCTGACTTCCAAATTTACTGGTTTTACTAGAAAGTTTGATTCAGATCTTCTTGAAACAGCCTCGTCATTTCTAAACTGGAAAGCGTACTTCTGCTTAGTGCCAATTGAATCTTGGCCACACTTTTGCTTTGTGGAAGTGCACTTTCTGAAATTAGGGTAGTCTCTGTCTGGATGCAAAAAAATGCAAGGTTCTGCCTGTGTTGTAGCAGTTGCACTGCAGGGAGCAATGAGCAAGTCTCCTGATAAAGTTGAAACGTGGGTGGAGTTCGGAAGAGGCAGAGCCCCATTTTAACTTTTTTCCTACATGTCTACAGTTTCCTTGGGCGTTAGATGTATCACCAGGAGCTTATCTTCATGGTGTAACTCATCTTAATCCTACCGTGTGCATGGACATGCAAAGAGGAGGGGACAACTTGATAGGATGCAGGAAGAGAAGCAGATGTTGCACAGCTCAGAAACGACGTAGGGAATTTGAAAAGTTTGTTCTACTTACCTAGTTTGGAATCTCATCAAGACATTAAGGCTACCACTCCCACACCATCCCTGAGATAGCTGTTTGGAAAATGCCAGTGTTAAGAGTAACATTTTTCACCTGGAAGACACATCGAATGAAAGGTACTTTCCTTCTGGCATAGATGTGTCCCATGCTTTCATCTGAATAAAAATAAGTCTTCACTTTCCATCAGATTAACACCACTTTTGCTTTTTTTTTTTTTTTTTTAAGTCAAATGTTTGTTGCTCATCACAAACTTTAATTTTTGAACTCAAAGAATAATCTCTCTCACATCCTGAATTTAATTTAACCATCTCAGGAGGACTGGGCTTTCCTGTTCAGTAACCACAGGAGATGTTCTTCTACATTGGCCAGAGTTGAAACTAATAGCCATGGCATGTTTGCTTATCTCTTATCTCTGGGGTTGGATCGCTGCTGTCAGCTTCTCCCTTGTTATCTGGCTGCTGCTACTGCTCACTCAGTTGTGCAGGGATGTCAGTTCCATTAATAACCTGAGCACCGTGCAAACAGATAGTGGAAAACAGGTGAAGGGAGAGGAAATTGTATTTAACCCTGATCTTGCAGCTGTCATTTTTCAGACTCCGCCATGACTCCATAAGGCCAGAATGGGTGTGTGACATCAAAACACTTGTGACAAATCTCATGCTTGAAATAGAAAGAGGAGACAGATGGATGGACTCACCTGCAGATGCTTGGGGACTGGGGTGAATCTGAAGCTTTTGTGGCAGAAATGCAACATGAAAGTGTTGGTATGCTAAAAGACAGATTAATTCTTCCAAAGGGCAGGAAGTCCTCCACCACTCCCTGGAAGTCTCAGACAGTTTCAGCTTTAACTTTTGTTGTCTTTGTTGTTTTAACAAGTAAAACTACCTTCTGTAGTGGAACAGTTACACAGACATTATAATGCCCCAGCTCAACAGTAACAGATACTGAGGTGTGGGAGACCCATCCTCTGTATGGAGGAGGAGTCTGTGAGGGCGTGCTCAGGTATCTACTTGGTATTCCCTCTCTGCTTCCAACGAATGTGCATTTCCTGGCTGTGGTGATCTCCATGTCCTGTATATGCCCACCTGAGCCACTGAGAGGAAAGGTTCCTGCTCGCTGGGAGCAGGCGGGAAGCGTGGCAAGGCAGGGATGTGGGCTGGGGCTCTGGCATGGACCCTCAGGCACCAAGCCGTCCAGGACCAGGAGCCTTAGCAGCACTTCAACTTGCTCAGGTATTGTACTAGACACGGAGGTCTGAGGAAAAGTTGTGAAATGTCTAAATGGCTTCAAGTACTGGTGTTTATGGAGTTTGCTTTTAGAAGAGCTTTATCGCAAGGAGGTCATCAGACACGGAAATTTGCTTCCTTAGTGGCCTTTCAGAAGCCAGGACGCTGTGCCTAAGAATAAAGGCTTCCTTGGCTGTGCGCCTTCATGAGGGAGCTGTGAGGTGACTTGTGCTCAGTTTTCTGGGTAAGTGGTGAGTTCCATTAATGTGGAAATAAATACATAAATATAACTTATTTAAATATAAAATATGCAAAGATTTGGAACAGAGAGAGATTTGGTCTTGAGTAGGAAGTAGAGCATTTCCTGCATATGTTTTTTCTGTATTCTGCAGCCTACGTTTTTGTCTATGTATGCATCTGCTTTCTCCCCAGTTATTATATGGCACGTACAACTGATGGTGGCATGCTTACTGATACACTGTTGGTCAGGGTCCCTGTTCCAGCAAAAGGAATTTCTCCCCAGAGTGAGAGAATACCTCCAGGTCCTGAGCCACGTAATGCTTGTGTTTAGGTCCTCAGTCCCCATTTCAGTTTGAGTAGTGTAAGAATAAGTCTCTGCCATGTCTGATCTCAGCTGTATCTAGATGGTCTGATGCTCACTTGTGGCTAGAAATGAAAAGAGAATTTTTCACATTCTATTAATTTAAAAAAAAAAAAAAAAAAAGTTGTTCTGCAACCTTTGCTAAGGAAAGATAACCCTGAAAATGTTAAATGAAATAAACTGATGCAAGCAGAGGCTAAGGTCAGAAGTTGTCCCTCTCTGGAACAGGTTATTCAGAGTTTTGCATAAAACTGCCAAAAGACATGCTGTGGTAACTCATATCCCATACAGCTGTGATGGGGAGAGACCTTCCTTTCCCTTCCCCAGTCCCTGGGGCTGTCCTCCTCTCAGCCTGCCGTGCCAGAGATATCTTCAGCACACCGGGCTTTTTGGGTTCTTGGAGACCTTTATTTTGTCAGCAGAGTGCTTTTTTTGTTAAACCTACTGTTTTCCCAGAGCTAAAACAAAAACAGCAGAAAAGATTTTGCAGCAAGGTGGGCGTGTTTCTAGCAAGAGGTGCCACGACAGTGGGAGTATGGGTCAACTGATGAGGAGGTCTGGCGGTGAGCAGTAAAATGAGTCCAGGAAGGAGTTTCTACAAAAAATGCAACATCATAATTTCTGCAGCTCACTTATGTGCCAAAGGCCAGTCAAAGGTGGATTTTATTTTGTGTCATTGCAAATCCTTAGGATTCCGGTACAAAATTTGTTGGGTGAAGTTATCTAATATAATTTTAAAGACAGATGAAGAGAATTTTGAGTTGTAGAGGGTTTTTTGTTTGGTTGGTTGGGGTTTTTTTGCTTTGTTTTGTTTTTTATTTTAAGAGACAATCGTATTGGAAAACATAGAGCATTGCCTGAAAACAAAAGCATGAGGAGGTTACAGTCTTCTAAAGTGCTAAGGATGTGTCTAAGTTTAACTGAGGTGCGTGAGCTATTAGGGCCACGTCAAAGGTATCTTAGCAGCATATCCTATGGGGCATACATATACCAGCATGATAGTAATGATGGTCTGTGCCTTCAGACCACAACGCTTGTTTCTGGCTTGTGTGAAGTGCAGCTGGAGGAGCTCCTAGCTGTCCGCACCCCCCCAACCCCCGGTGTAGTCATGCCCTAAGTGATCCACAGGTGCACAGAGGGGAATCCAGTGCAAAACTCCCCGTGCTGGAGTCACTGCTGGCGTGGTGATGTGATGCCATAGTTGGACCTACCGCAGGCTGAGTCAGTCTGCATAGATGTGCACCATCCTTTCTTCTGGTCTGCAGGCATGATCCCAGCTTCACTGATAACCCAGAGGTCCTTAAAACTATCTGGGGAGCTTTGGACAGTGATGGTTTGATGTTAAACACATCTTTGGCCAGCTACTCTGTTGTGCTGATCTGCTGTATGAGTGCATTCATGTATCATATAATAACAAAGATATTTGCTCTGTGCCATGAAGAAATGTATTCAATTTACAGAGCTGTGGTTCTGCTCATGAAAGACAGCATTTATGTCTGTCATACATAATATTCTATGTATAAAATAATGGAATCGTGATAACTGTCATACAGTGATTTCAAATGAAAAAGGGAATTAAAATAAAATGGACAAAGGAATTCTTTTTCTTAGCAAAATTAAAGCATTGCTGGCAGCAGAATGAGTTTGGAACCAAGCTGGTAGGAGAAAATATGCGTAGGTCTATTATTTATACTGCTGCATTGACCTAACAAGTTATGCTTGTGAAAATACCACAGTCAGTTTGTATTTTTATATAAGTAGGACTGTTTCAGATTTTCTGTGTTTTAGTTCAGTTCTATTGCTAGGAAAAAAAAAAAAAAAAGTAGTTTAAACTGAAAAATTAATTCCAGTGAAACTACCGTCACAGTGCTTGAACCAATGATTGAGTCTTTGTCTTCCAGAGAGCCAGAAGCAAAAGGGATTTGGGA